ATAATTTGTTTATTGTTTTTATATTTTTCAATATATTTATTTTCTTCGTACAAAATAAAAAAATAATTTATAACGATACAATAGTCTTCGTTAGGCTTAAGATCGACGATCATTCAACGGGAAGCGACACACAATGAAGAAAAATGTCAGGATGGGATAAATTAATATATATTTTCGTACACAATCGGTTATCCGAAACATCGATCTTCCGAACAACCCAGTCCCCAATTGATTCGGATAATCGACGCTCTACTGTATATATAATCGAGACAGGTTAATAATAATAACAATATTAATAAGCGCAGAGCCTAAAAGGTTAGGACTTGAAAGTTGAAATTTGGTACACAGTTAGGGTACGTCACGAGAACGCACACAAAAAAAGGATTTTTCGAAGCTACCCCCGAAATAAGAGAAACTGGATTAAGGCTTCAACAATGGAAGTGTCAACAATGGAAGTGTTAAAATGGAAGTGTTAAGTAACAACGGAAGTGTTAAGAGAAAGCTACGTGCAAGATTTTCAGGCGCAGATGCGGTTTTCTGCGTTTTTGCAAGAAATCGAACATAATTTTAGACCCATGTAAAAATTTTCTAATTAGTCTGGAAACAGAGGGACTTAATTCTTGCATTCCGTGAAAACGTGTAAGATTGGCTGTAATGTAATAATCTTAATTAATTTTCGCTATCGTTATTTTTTGTTTGAGCAACGCCAGGTTTATCTTCCAGTTTTTAATGTCTTGATAACGAATTTGCAAATGAATTTTGTATATAAAAGACTGGATTCAGTTGTTACCCATATTAATACTAGCAGGTGGGCCCGGCGTTGCTCGGGCAAAAGTAACGATAACTAAGATAAAGATTATTATGTTACAGTCAACCTTACCCGTTTTCACAGAATGCAAGAATTGGGTCTTCTTGTTTCCAGATTAATTGGAGAATTTTTAGATGGTTCTAAAAATATGTTCGATTTCCCGCAAAAATGAAAAAAACTGCATCTGCGCCTGTAAATCTTGCACGTCGCTTTCTCTTAACAATTTCATTGTTACGTAACACTTCCATTGTTACTTAACACTTCCATTGTTGATCGAAGTGTTAAACTTTAATCCTGTCCCTCTCCACCTAGGGGAGGAATTTCGAAAAATCCCATCTTAGTGTGCGTTTTCATGACGTACTCTGTGTACCAAATTTCAACTTTCAACTCCTAACCGTTTGGGCTCTGCGCTTATTATTATTATTATCAACCTGTCCTAATTATATATTAGATAAGGAAAAAATGAATGTAGCAAGAAATTATAGATTATCTACGAGGAAAACTTGCAGTGCAAGTTTCGTGAATAATTTAAACAAAAAAACAAAAACACAAAACTCAAATTGTGCAATTGATTAATACTGAGCCATAGAAATATATTTGTGGATAACTTTAATCAGTTATTTCGGTGAATTTTTAGTGTTCTGCCATTTCGTAATTAAAAATTGAACTGAGTTGAAATAAATATATATATTTCATATTGGATAAAATAAAAGTAAAAAAATTAAATTGCTAATTGCCAAAAAATGAAAAAATCGAAATAGATTTTATTACTTTACAATCAAGGATAGCTACATTATTAATATTCTCTATGCGTTTCTTCGATTGTATTCAAATTTTGCATTTGATATATTATTTATAATAAATCAAATGCAATTCTAAATTTGAATAACTATATTCTGTGTAGAAGTTGCAGCAAAAGAAAATAAGAGATAAACAATATATTTTTCCTCGTTTCTTTTCTGTGAAATACAAGCGAAGAAACGCATAAAGAATATTAATAATGTAGCTATCCTTGATTTTAATGTAGTAAAATGCTAAAAGATTTGGAGATAATTTCTATACGTATGAGTGTTTGTGTGTATGTTTTTTGGTTTTGTTTATCCTCGTAAAGCTTAATAAATCCTGTGCTTTTTGTAGAAAATTATCGAAAATTGGTAGGGAAGTTAATTTGTTAAAGGGATAAAAATAGTTAAATTTATGAAAAGTCGAAGAAGTGAAAAAATACAAGAGGTGGTGTGTATTACCAGCAGGTACGAACTTAACGACGATTTTTCTTTTTATTTGCCTTTAGAATTTTTTACATAATTCGATTCTTTCAAGAAATTAAGCTTTATTCATTTCATAATAGTTAAAAATATAAAGTTATTTAATACAATGTGATAACAGATAGAGACACCAATATAATAAGCAACAGGTTAGTGGATTTTTTTGAACATGATAATATTTTTATTCGTAAAAAATGTAACATTAGATTTGTTCTCGATTTTTTTCAAAAAACCTAGTATCGTTTCGATTATTTATCTAAAAATAGAGCACCACATTTCTGATAAACCGATAATAAGATATGATTAAGAAAACTTTTCATGTATAATATTTTATGAATAAATTGCTGGAAATGATATTCGAGTGCATACTTCTTATTAAATTTTATTTTATTTAAAATATAGCTTTTTAACAAGTATTATATTATTTCGCGACAGAACAAGTTTAATTTTCGTGTAAATTACGTCATAATTTAACATCCAAGACATAAAAATAGGTCTGATAATATGTACTGTACACCTGTCTATCAATATGTAAGAAACGGAAAACACCAATGCGATAAAAAAAACATTTTTAAATTTTTGGAAAATCGCAGACTTGCCATCATAGGATGTATCCCTGTTGAGAAATTCGAGTCTCATCCTAGTTAAGAAGGTTTGAGACAGAGCAAAGTGTAAACGATATATAAATTTAAAAACAATTTAGAAGGTTTATAATAAAAATTGTGCTNAACCCTCTGTAGAGAGGATGCCACTGGATAGATAGATAAATAATAAAATATTAAGTATATGATTAACTATGATTTTTCGAATAGAAATCTTGTATGAATATTCTAAATTGTTAATTAATTAATATTATTTACAGGAGATATCGAATATTCTTCAACAGAAGAAGAAACCTCAACTGATGTGCCAACAATGGCATATTTCAGAGACAAGTTGGGAAAAATTCTATCTATGAATGTAATGAAGTTAACGGTTATCATCGTTTACTTTCTGAATTTATCATTTGGAATATGGGGAGCTTTAACTATAAAACACGGTATAGATTTTACTAAGTTATATCCACATAAATCAATGATAACACAGGGTATTAAAATATATTATAATAGTTTTGGCCGTTATACGTTTCCTTACCATATAGTAATTAATAGAACACTTGATTATTCAGATTTAAATGTACAAAAATCCGTAGACGAACTACTCAACAAATTCGAAAGTCTTCCATACATTGCAGATTCTCGATTTACAGTATCGTGGTTGAGATATTATAAAGAATTCCAAAATCACCCGTTAGCAAAGTATTCATTACGAGGATACAACATGTCGGTTAAACAAGATTTCTTGGATGGACTTCGCAATGTTTTCCTGAAATTTAAATCAGCAGAACAATTCACAGACGATATCGCTTTCAATTCTGATGGATCCGATATTTTAAGTAGCAGATTTCATATCTTTGTGAATGATACGTTAAGTTCAGCAGCTGAAATGGAAATGTTAAAAACTCTGTGGAAAATTGCTGACGAATTCGAATTTCCTGTTCTTGTTCATGCACTAGTCGCACCTCAGTACGAACAAGGAATTATAATTGGACGTACAATTCAGGATTTATTTTGGATCACTTCACTTTTGGTCATGATTCTTTTTATAGTTTTCATACCAAACATCGTCGTTGCAGTTCTCGTTGCAATATCGGTAACATCCACAATAGTAGAAACTTTAGGATACATGTCTCTCTGGGGTATAAACATGGACATTTTATCTATGATGAGTCTGATATTATGTGTCGGATTCTGCGTCAATTATCCGGCTCACATATCTTACGCATATATTTGTTCTTTGTATCAAACCCCAAATGAAAAAATGAAAGACAGTTTGTATCGTATCGGCTATCCAATATGTCAAGGATCTCTGTCAACCATTTTAGGAATTTTATTTGTATACAGAGATATGTACGCTTTAATTATATTAGTGAAAATTGTATTTCTTATTGCATTAGAAACTGCATTTCATGCATTGATTTTTGTTCCTGTTGTTCTTTCTTTAATTTCTTCAATTTTCTTTAAAGCTAATATAGAAANAAATCGGATGAGTAGTTTCGGAGATTACCTGCTGCATACCAACTAACATACATACAAACATTACCTCTTTATAATATTAGTATAGATTATCGTTCGAAATTAAAAATGAATTTTCACAACTAAATGGTAGTTTCAGCTTACAAAACACGTAATACTAAATTTAAAAAATTACTTATTTAAGTTAATTAGTAACTGAATATATCTGAAGAAGCTGATAAACGACAATCGGAATACAGTATATATATTATAGATAAACTGTACAATAATTATTAAAAAATATTTATTATTATTTTAATCGCTGATCAGCCAGCAGCGTACAAAATTATAAATAATAAGAGAAAGTACTGTACAAAAACGACAATAGAAATTCTACATTACACTCAAGGATTGCTGCATTATTAATATTCGTTATGCGTTTCTACAGTTCTATTTCACGTGAAAAATACGAGGAAAAATATATTCTCTGTCTTTCGTCTTTTCCTGCTTCAACTTTGGTTACCCCAAATATAATTATTCTATTGTAAATTTTATTTAATTTATTATTTAGTGTCAATTAACGATTTAATTTTTCTTACTACTTTTTTATCCAATATGAAAAGTAAATATTTATTTGTAATCGGTTGAAATTTTAAATAGTAAATTGCAGAACACCAAAAATTCATCGAAATAATTCATTTACAAATATATTTTCATGGCTCAGTGATAATTAATTCTAGAATTTACTTTAAAGATTCCTTTTTTTGCTATATTGTTCATGAAACTTGTACTGCAAGTATTTTCCTCGTAGAGACTTTATAATTTCCTGCAACATTCATTTCCTTTTCATATTAACAAGTCTAACGTCTGAATTTAATCTTCGAGTTACAAAATTCTCTTGCAAATTCGTTATTAAAATATTAATGATTATAACACTGTTGATAAATACAATTAGCTCCGGATCGTACAACTGAACGCCGCATAAGATATTTCGAATAATGTACATAAACACCGAATATAAGGTGAGTAATTATTTAATTTGTCGTAGTTACATCGTCATGAATATGTATTTTAATGATAAGTTAAATGTAATTAATTTGTAAAGACTTTTAAACTATCAAATAAAGTAATTAACATTTTTATTTGCTGGTATATTTTATAAGTAAAATTAAGAAAAGGCTAAGCAAACATTCAAATTTATCTGTAAAAATTCGTTCGAAATCATTAGGTTCTTATCAAATTTGAAAAGTTTTTTTCGTGTGTAGCAAAACCAACAGTACTATATTATACTTCCTTTGTTACGTTGATTTTTATTAATTTATCTTTAATGTTGAGAAATTCAATTAATCGTATTAAACCAGTATTAAAGGACTATACTTGAATAGTTAAAAACTTTTAATTAAAAAGTTATGATATGTTTACAATAAACACTGAGAAATATTTTAATAGATTGCTACAAATTTTGTAAGAGATTATAATATCGGAGTATAAAAACTCGTCTCTGATTGATTATTTAACGTACCTAACGTTTTTTTGAAATACCACAGGAGATCGTTGCATGTACGTGATTTTATTGTTAACGTAGATAAGATTCAGTGGAAAGTCGTGTAATTAACGACAGACTGGCTTTACTGAAAGTAAAAGTTTATGATTTCCTGTAAAACTTTATTGTTCACTAAATAACCTGATGAAACTTCAGAAAAAAGTTAATATAAAAATATTTAATGTTAATTTTTGTAATATGCCGAATTTTCTTACCTTCCAAAAATTTATTTGTAGATATTAGACAGAGTTCTTTGTTAATTCTTTTTTTAAATTTTTATTGTTCGTTATTTGTATAAACGTCACACTTTAAAACATTCCTTATCTACAAGACAGTAGTTAATTATAATTTTCTGCAATTATAAATGCCAATTTAAAAACCATTTTTTTTTTTATTAGAGACTTCAGCTCGTTCTCCATATATTTACATTAATGGAACTATGTTCCTCTCGCTTCTCAGTAAACGTATTATTAAATATTCCATTGTTTAATTTGACTTTCTGCTCCTTGCATGTATTATGGGTTTATTTTACGCACTATGCTTTTACATATTAGAAATTATTCATCTGCGTGGCTTATACATTTCTTTTCTGAAGTTTTAGGCCCTATATCGCGCAGAAAGCACAAAATAGACAGGCTTGTACTATACTAGTAAACAACAGTTTTATTTGCAAATTTCTAGTTTTATTTTTGCTTATTTACTTGTTTGCTGTTTTAAAATGTTTTTACTGTATTTTTTTCTCGAGAAACTTAACGGGTAACTCAAAAGTTATTTTAAAATATTAACTGAAACGAAGCTTAACTGCCCAAAAGCAAAAGCTTCCACTGAAAGTGTCCAAAATTCATTACAAAGGCAGTTTGCTTATTGTCTTCAGAATGAAAAGGTACATGCTAATAGACTGACAAAATGTATACAGTACATAATATTTTCGCATACATAAGTCTATTTAACAACTCATCTATCCTAGGAATAGGTACATTGTTAATTTTATTCATGTTGTTTAACTTCGTGTAATTTATACATAGTCTAGTTTCTCCCTCTTTTTTTTAGCTAATGTGACTGGGACAGCGTACGGAAACGACGATGGTTTAATTATTCCCGATTGTATCAATAATTTCGTCTGTCTATCAATCTCTTCTTTATTGAAATAAAATTCTCTATAAAGTTTGAGAATGATAGGCCTTTTGTCTTTGCATAATATTCCAGAAGAATCTATTTTCAGAGCTGGCACTGAACTTTTCAGTAGAAAAAAACTTATTTATACCCTTAAATAAGACTTTATATGCTTTGATACTTATCTGAATTCATTCTTTGAGTTATAAATGCTAAATCTGTGGTTCCATTGAATCCAAACCGCACCCCGCACTATTATTCATCCCCCACCCATTTGGCGTTTTGAAAATATTTGTTTTTCGGTTTTTAAATCGTACCAATAATACATTCAACCGTCTGGACTATCTAAAATGAATTTTTTTCATCAGTGAACACAATTTTTTCTTCATTAAAGCACAAAAGTTACAGACTTGATTGGGCACAACAACACATGACATGGTCCAAAGATTAGATTGAAAAAACTTCAATCCATTCTTTGGACCATGTCATGTGTTTTCGTACCCAATCAAGTCTGCAACTTTTGTGCTTTAATGAAAGTGGTGGAATTATAGCTTTTTTTCTGAATTTTAATGTTGGAGATTTATTTAAAACTCTCCACGCTGTTGTGCTGCTACAAGTTAAATCTAATTCTTGTTTTATTTTTCTTACTGATGTTTGTTTTGTGAAGCAAACCTTGATGATTTGTCTTCAATCTCGAGGTAAAAGCTTGGGTTTTGGACCTGTCTTGAATTTTAGTACATCCTAGCCACGTCTTTTTGATAAATATTCACCAACAGTTGATATTGGATGATATATATATGCTGCAATTTCTCTTATTGACTTGCCTTGGGATTTATAGGCATCAACTGCCCTTTTTTCATAATCAGATAAATTCTTTGTTCTACCCATTTTAAAACGTTGAACAACATAAAGAATTTTCATTACAATAAGATATGTAAGCTGATTTGCATATTACTATGCTTGAAACTAAACAATATTCTTTTATTTAAGTCATGAAATGAGTGCTTGTCTGGATAAATATGTAACAGTTTTTTTTTTGTGCAAAATTTTAAAATAAATACGAAATTTGCACTTTAATCAATTATTAAATTAAATTTATCTTAATGATAAAAATATCTAAAAAAAAGTTTTTATCGCATATAATTTCAGAAATGTCTTTCATCTGTTTTCACTTTGTATGACTTCAGGATTAGCAACTTCACTGGAGACGATGATTTTATTTAAAGACTTTCTTTTAAGAAAACGCGAAAAGATACAATGGGACAACAAATGAAGTACACCTTTACAGTTATGTCATATAAAAAATTTTTTAACTGAACTTCTATAATTATCTGAATGATGTTTTATTTTTACTTTTTATAGGAAAAATAAAAAAAAATAATAAAAATTAAAACATGAAAATCGACTTTGTGAAGAAACGATTATCCATCGTTTTTCGTAAATTAGGAAGATTAGTTGGACTTCATCCGTACTACTTTATCATTTTTCCTATTTTAATATCAGCGACATTTTCAGCATTCATAGTCAATATAAACACTATCTCAAACACAAGCGAACTGGCATTTGCAGATTCAGGAAAAGTCTATAATACTAAGAAGTTCATTGACGAAAACTTTCCTTTTAATACATCGAAATTCCTTGATCCAACAAGTTTTACAGACGTACCAAAATGTGTGTTTGTGATATTTACAAAGAAAGGTGGTGGAGATATGCTCGAAAAAGATGTGCTACTGGAAATAAGTTTGGCAGATCAGTTTATTAAGAATATAACAATTAACGATAAAGGAAAAAAAATTCGATATTCAGATATTTGTGCACGTGTAGGAGAAAAATGTTTTGAAAATCCGATTATAGAAATATTGCCCGAAATTGACAATATAGTGCAGCGAAAGAAGAAATTAAAGTATCCGTTCGAGATAGATCCGCTGACATACTCTTATCAAATTAATTCTCTCAACTTTGGGGGTGTAATCGAAGACGAGAACGATGTGATTCAAACAGTTAATGCCATTAGAATAATCTATTTGACAGACGAGAGCGACAAGAAAATACACAATGTGATAGAAAGATGGCGAACAGAAGTTTATAATCGAATAAGAAATTATCAATTTAAACATATTCTTTGTTTCATTGATTACTACTGGTCAATGGAACAACGAAATGTGCAATTAGTGGAAAATATAAAACCGATGATCGGTGCACAAGTTGCATTTATTTCTGTTTTTACTATTGTCACGTGTATGAGCAACAATTGGGCAAAAAGCAAGCCTTTTCTTGGTGTTGCAAGTGTCGTATCGGCTGGTCTGGCCGTGGTCACCTCTTTCGGATTCATGTCAGTTGTCGGTGTTCAAAATAGTATTTGGAACATCACCATTCCGTTCTTAGTTCTCGGTAAGTGATTACCTACACTTTTATTAATTTATTTGTCTCTTTTAGATTATGAATTCTTCAATTAATAAAAGTTTTTTGATGCAGTGACAGAGATCGACGATGCCTTCGTATTGATGGCGTGTTGGAGAATTTCAAACTCCCAGCATAAAGTACACAAACGTATGGAAGAAACATTGGGGGAAGCAGGAATTTCTATAACGTTAACATCGTTGACTAATCTGTTTTCTTATTGCATTGGAATGACGGCATCTTTTCCTCTTATAAGAATGTTTTGTTATTATTCGGCAACCAGCGTAGTGTTTACATTTTTGTATCAAATAACATTTTATGCAGGTTGCATGGCATTATCAGGATACAAAGAAGAAAATCAACAACAAACATTTCGTCTTAATTTCAGTGAGATCATTTACCTTTTTTTTAGTTTGGATATATATATATATATAAAGTTTGCCATAATTTCTATACTATATGATATTGCACATAGAAGTATTAACATACTGTTGGCATAGCCTGAGAGTAATTGTATAGTATATTGATTATATGATGAACTATTTCGTTTAAGTGTACTGTTAATCTGAAATTATTTGCAGAACCTTAATTTTTATTGCTCAATTACTATCAAGTAATTAATTGCAGCTGCATTTTTTTGTCACAACTATGTATTATTTGACATTTAATGTGATTAATTTAACGTTTAAAACATTATAAGAATTTACATTTGTTGTTTTTAGTTACTTTTATATAAATTTAAAATTAAAAAATATATACAGTATACTAATAAACTGGTAGCCTGCAATATTTTTGCATATGTAGTATTAAAAATAAATTAGTACTTACAACTTATTTTATTTTTAGTAACGTGAAAGTTTCCTATAGAGGGAGTGCTAGTGACGTCACAAGACTCCGCTTACGAAACACGCGCCATATTGGTTGCTGTTAATTTGGTTGTCGACCTCGATATTGTCATTTAACTCATATTTTTTCAATTTTAATTTATTATGGTTTATTGCGTAGTATTTGGTTGCGATTACAACCGCGGAAAGCATAAAGATCGGTGATTTTTCGAGTTCCTACTGTAATTAACCATCAAGGTAAAAACACCGAAAATATTTGTCGGCAAAGGCGAACGGAATGGCTTGCCAGAATTAACAGGCAAAACTTTACCGATTCCTCTGTGACGGATAATAAACATCAAATAGAGTTGTAAGTAGGTTCTTATGGAATGAATTGACATGGTCTGTAAAAGAATTGAAGTAACTTGGCATCACTGACAAAATTGCAGCAGTTGGATTATGAACAGAAATTTTTTTAAAAAACTGCTCAAACTCTCTCTTACTAGGTTTGTTTATACAAGTATTCCAAGTTTTATCACTTGACAAATAAGGTTTCTGTATATTTTCTTTTTCAAGGCATTGCCGTTTGCTTGCAGTTGCAGCTGACATAAAGTTTATGTTTCGTAGTGGTTACAAACCAGTCTTTTACATGTGGCACAATCCAATTATTTGGTCGGTCAGTACATCTCTGGGAACTCCTTATTTCAATTCCTTCTGCAATGGCAAAAATAATAGCACCAACACGAAAACAGAAGGAAGATTGTCCAGCCATNACATTATGCACGTATCTAACCGTTCCAACCTTGTTTTTAATAATCTGCTCCGAGTTGCCAGGAACAGATGGGGTCTTGATCATGTAGCTGTCAATGCCATCTATGACTGCGTGTTTTTGCCCACTATTTGTTATGCTTCTGCTGTATGGGGAGAGGCTGCCTTCCATTCCCATAATCATCGGCGTCTCAGAACAGCACAACGTCTGGCGCTCCTGCGTCTGACTAGAAGTTATTCCACCGTGTCTAACGCTGCTCTTCCTGTGCTTGCCGGGAAGCTCCCCATCCTGCAGCAGATCCAGTACTGTACAGGCAGATTTCTTCTTTCCCGTGGTAAATGTATTACCATCTCGGGCAACGTCTATGATGCATCCTGTTACGAAATAAGTAGACCTTTTGCAGACCTCCCGCATCCTGCACTCAGAAGAGGTCTTGGGGCTCATGACTGTGCTACCAGCATCGAAGTTTTTACCGATGGCTCCAAGACTGCGCAAGGCACCGCAAGTGCTTTTGTTGTTTATGTCGATAATGAGGAATTTCATCACGACAGCTTTCCCCTGCACCCGGAGTGCTCAGTGTTTCAGGCAGAAATGTTTGCCGTCTTTAAAGCAATAGAATTCTGTAATAAAAATTTCAGCAACTACAATATTACTATTTTCACTGACAGCCAGGCCACGGTCCAAGTCTTGACTAACAAAGATACCACTCATCCCCTTGCTAGGGACACTTTGTTCTCTGCAGATCAGTCCAGTAATAATTATCATATCAAATGGATTAAGGGGCACTGCGGCACTCCAGGTAACGAACGTGCAGACTTCCTCGCACGTGTGGCTACTTCCTTCAGGGACATCAACCCAGTGTACAGCCATTTACCGGTCTCCAGGTTAAAACAGCTCCTTTGGCAGCATACAATTGTAGTGTGGCAACAAGAATGGGAGCGTATCCCAGAGCAGCACATTTCCCGGCAGTTCTTCCCAGACGTAGCAAGACGCCTCAGCTTGAAATGGGTCCACCCTCAACACCAGATGTCACAGCTGCTCTCAGAACATGGTAAATTCAATGTATACTTACATCGGTTTCTACACAGCGACACTGACTGCTGTCCAAACTGCGATGTGCGTGATGGAGTAAGGCATTATCTTTTGTCTTGCCCACTGCTGGAAGACATAAGGAACGAGCTCAAACTTTACGTGGAAGAAGATAATCTCAATTGGCCGTGTAAGCTGGAAGTTTTAGTGTCGAGTAAAAAGTACTTTTCCCTTTTTCAAAGGATGGTCAAGCTTTACTTTAACAGAACATTAATACATTGATAAACGTTTTTCCTCACTTTTATTTACCGCATGACTCCTGACATTAGGATTTTATATCTACGTGTATTTTGATTTCTTTTCTTTTACGCTCACTGTCGGTTTTACTGCTCGGCATGTCACCTCTATGTACACACTGTATATATTCATCCCGACTGTGCCTAGCGGTGTCGGGCATAATAAAGTTGATTTTGTCTGTCTGTCTGTCTGTCTATCTGTCAACAAATTCGAAAGTCTTTCGTATATCGCCGATTCCAGATTTACATTATCGTGGTTAAAATATTACAAAGAATTCCAAAATCACCCGCTAGCAAAATATTCATTACGAGGATATAACATGTCGGTTAAACAAGATTTTCTGGATGGACTTCGCGATGTTTTCTTGAAGTTTAAATCAGCGGAACAATTCTCCGACGATATTGCATTCAATTTTGATGGATCCGATATTATAAGTAGCAGATTCCATATTTTTGTAAATGATACGTTAAGTCCAGCAGCTGAAATGGAAATGTTAAAAACTCTGTGGAAAATTGCTGACGAATTCGAATTTCCTGTTATTGTTCATGCAGCTGTCACACCTCTGTACGAACAAGGGATAATAATTGGACGTACAATTAACGATTTATTTTGGATCACTTCACTTTTGGTTATGATTCTTTTCGTAGTTATCATACCGAACATTGTCGTTGCAGTTCTCGTTGCAATATCGGTAACATCCACCATTGTAGAAACTTTAGGATACATGTCTCTGTGGGGTATAAACATGGACATTTTATCTATGATTAGTCTGATATTATGTGTCGGATTCTGCGTAAATTATCCGGCTCACATATCTTACGCATATATTTGTTCTCCGTATCAAACCCCCAATGAAAGAATGAAAGACAGTCTGTATCGTATCGGCTATCCAATATGTCAAGGATCTCTGTCAACCATTTTAGGGATTTTATTTGTGTACAGAGATATGTACGCTTTCATTATATTTGTGAAAATAGTATTTCTTATCGCAATAGAAACTGCATTTCATGCATTGATTTTTGTTCCTGTTGTTCTTTCTTTAATCTCTTCAATCTTCTTTAAAGCTAATAACGAAATATAGAGCCAGAAGTAAAGAAAAATGTTTCCGGAGAATTTACTATTGTGATTGGAAAATAAACTTACAATTTTAAAACTTGTCAACATACCTTATTTTTATTTAATTTGATGTTATATTTAGATCAGTGGTTAGTTCTAGAAATCAGTCACGATATAGTGTGTCTTTTTCTTAATTATTTTAAATCGAGACTTTTCGAAATTATTACGTTTTATGATGTTATTATATACAAATGAATGTTAATACTCTTTTATTTTTTGTAATTGCGTTATTATAAATTATAAATCCAGTTGAAATGTATATCTAGATAAAATATTGAATTTTGCTTTGACTTTAAACATTTTTGGACTTCTCTAGAATAAAAAGTTTAAAGTTATACTTTGTGTTCATCTGTTGTATTAAAATATTTTTACATTAATAAACTGATTGTATTTTAGTAACGTTTGAGTTATTTTATTATATTAAGAAAGTAGCAGGTGAGTTGGTTTGCATTCAACTAACACTTTTTAGCAGAAGCAAACTTCAAATTGTTTTCCTGCAGTTTTACTGATGTTGTGATACCTGAAAAGTAATTTTGTTTTTATATTAGTAATATCATTTTTGTTTTCTCGCATTGTTAAATACAAGAAAAAATAAACATAAAAGTATGACATGCGAGTAGAAAATAATATTTAAGATATGTACTATTTTTTGTTTATGAAACTTTCATATACTTGGATAAATGAAAACTTCCGGGTTTGGTTTCCATTTGTGTAAATTTTTTTGTGCGAAGTTAACAAAATCGTGCAACTTCGCACCAATAAATAAATAAATAAAGTAATTATATGACATTCGGAGGGAGTAATTTCATAATTAAATAATTAAGTTATATTTTAATACGATGAGAAAAAGAGCAAGCCAAAAATCGAATAAAAAAAAATAACAAAGTGGATAAAATGTACACATATCTTATTTTTCCTGAACTCTTAACAGTAAAACCGATAAAATATCTTTTCGATTTAACAATTATTACTAAGGTTACAATACAAACCCTGACCTAAGTCACTACCCACCATTAATTTTGTTTGTTTGACAGCTTTTATTAATTGTATGAGGTAAAATAAGTAATTATACCGGATAGAAAAAAGTAATAAATTTGCCGAAACGTTCGATTTGTAACAGTTTACATAAACAACACCCGGACGCAAATCGAATTTAAACCACATTGCATCAGAACCCCTCCCCGATATTTCTTCGGGGCGATTGTCATAAGGAAGCTTCCAGGCTATTAACTCTGTTTGGACCTTTGCTCCACTGTTTTCTAGGAGCTCTCGAGACTTGATAGCCGCATTTTAAAAGAATACAAGGCCAGCCGTCCATACATATATCGCCGAATTCGCCTTCATTCAGATGCTTATACCCCGTTCGCACCGAGCATTTAGATTTAGATTCTGACTAAGGTCGGAGAGCGTTCCGTGGTGCGAACGCTCTCGACCGTTTCAATCTCGACTGAAACGAGGTTTAATCGCGATCGACTGAAGAGAGAGTTCTGGAAAGTAGATACAGTCATAAGAGAGATCCCACAATCCCACGCGCGCGAGAAAATACAAGATGGCTGCGGAACACGTGTTGAGTTATCGACAGACAAATAAAAAAGACATCTGGAGAGACGACGATATCTGTCTATTATTAGATATATAGCAAGAAAAAGTATTTATTTCTAACCAAAACTTCAATTTTGTTTATTGGTGTTTGTGATTTACTGCGTAGTTACGTCAGTTTTATGATCGCGTATAATAGCCAGGTTCTTCTCGAGCGGACTGCCTGTGCGAACAGCACGACGTTCGACTAGCAACAGTCACAATCCAGATTGTAGGTAAATCGCGATCGAAGTGAGTCGTGGATTGTGTGCGAACGTATTATTAGGCTTAGATCACTGATCGTTCAGCCAACGTCACATAGAAAAATCTAGGAGCTTGGAATTTTTAAGAACATTTCTAAACTCTTTCTCTCTCGGTTCATTACTTTAAGTAGTATAACGCTTAACTGCCCCTATTTGTTAAACGCTTTTTGTTT